GCTCAGCCGTCACAGGAATATCAGAGGGAGGCGAGAACGCTATCTCCAAGCCTTCCTCCACTCCACGACCCTCCACGCCCGGGCCCTCAAAGTCCAACGCAGGTAAGGAGTGCTCAAACACCTCAGAAGACTCCACCCGCTCGCTCCATAATCTCGGAGGTGCAGTAGCAGGCTCAATGGATCCAAATCTCAGTATGGTCGACGGCACAGAAGATGGAGGCGCCGTCCCCCCTCCGGTGGTCTTCACCACAGACCCCGGTCTCTCGGCCTCTCGACCAGGATCAGCTACCGGAGGCTCCTTGCGCCCCATGCCATCATCACCCTCGTGCATATCAACATCCACGGCGGCAGGTGCCTTAGCAAACAGGGTGTCATCCTCAAACTCAATCTGAAGGTTATACACCTGGCCTCGATAAGCCCACTTCACCACGTCCGGAACAAACTCAATGTCCAAAATACTGACAAGAATGCGAGCCACCCCCTGAGCTCTGGTGAAAGCCATATCCACTCGTTCGGGCTTTCCCACCAATACAGCCAGACTAGCAACAACCCTGGCATCCTGCATGGGCCTGTGCGGAGCTCCCGAAAAACGCAACCAGGCCTGGGTAAGAGGCTTACCCTGAGGCTCACTCAATTTCCACTCGTGGAACTCAAGAATGCCCTCCGTACCCGGCACCTTACACATCCCAAAACTCAGTAACCTCTGTAAATCCTCCACCGTTGGAAACTCCACCCTCAACGAGTTTGGCTCAAGACTGACTAGCTCCCAGAGGCTCCCGGAGCCGCTGCACAATCTGGATCTCAGAGACTTCACCTTTAGTCACTTTAACGATCCCAGACGTCATACTGCGCACCTCGTCAGTAACTTCCTCTCGATCGGAGACTCAAAAAACGCGAGCTCAGAACAAAACACACCATACATCATAAGATTGGGTAACTGCTCTCTCATTAGCGGACAAGCCCCTGACTCATGATCCGGCTTACCACACGTATCGCATAAGACTGCCACACACTCAGCAATGAAGTGGCCCTTATTGCCACATCGATAGCATAGCATTCTTTCTTTCTTGCGCGCATACTTAGCCGCCCTGTCCAGCTCAGCCCTGTCAGAGCCCTCCACCGACATTACCTCGTCCGTAGCAACCACCTCTGCCAGAGCCGTAACCACCTCCATAGCCTGACAAGACAATGCAGTCTCCTCAGTACCCTCACCAACCGTTGTCTGATCAATGACAACTGGATGCTGCCTTGGACGGTAGCGACCACCTCGGCCACCCCGTCCACCACGGTTACCACGAAAACCACCGCGGTTCCTATTAGCTGGTCCTGATGCCCCTTCGACGAAACCTCCCGTTGGCCCCAGGAAGGGTCTCTCGGTCGAGCCATCACTCTGCCATGCATATCCCCGCCCACCACCTGTGGACGAGGATCCCCAGTGCTGTCCGTCTCCATAAGCGTTAAGCCCATCGTCACCCCATTGACCATGAGGCACCGACGAGTCACCCCCCCTTGCCGGAGCCTGCTGTAACTGTGCCTGCTCCAACACTGGTGCTGCCGGACTCTGCGACTGCCGAGCCACGAAATGCGGCGGCCTGGCCCCGGTCTGTATCGCCATGGGACGTAGCTGACCACCCAAGGCCGGAGGAGGCGGACTAGGAGTCGGGGTGCCGCGACCCGCGACGGCCACGGGGATTGGAGACGGTGGCCTAGGGCCACCCAGACCCCCGGCTGGCGCAGGTGGTCTGGAACCCACCGGCGGTGCCCCGCGGCCCACCACGCCAGACCTGGGAATACCACCATGCAGCGATGGTCTGGTGTCGTTCGCCCCCTGAGCCGCCTGGCTGGATGGCGGAGGAGCGGCCGCGCGCCCAGCCCCGAGCGGCATGCCAGCGCGGCCCCGACCCGCGCCCTGCGGAGCCGCATCCCCGCCACGCCCGCCTCCAGCCGGCAGCGGCAGTCCTCCGCGTCCTGCGCCGCCCGGGGCACCGGACTGGACGCCGGTCTTGGCCGGGGGTGGACCTCCGCCCGCCATGCAGCGAAGAGGAGGAATCCGGCGGGCACGCCCCGCACCACAGTCAGAAAAACGCGGCCATGCCGAAGGTTGAAGAACCCTAATCCGCGTCGATCAAAAGCCCTCAGTTGTCTCGTCGATCGTGCATGGGGGTGTATCGATCACTCCCGTCGTACGTACCTGGTTAACCTGGGCCTCATACCCAGTTAACACAGGCCCGCACATGACAAGGCCTGGCTCACTCAGAACCGGCCCATTAGCAAACTCACCGTGCGTTCGGCCCAGGATAGCGTTCAAACGCTTCTCCCGTAGCTGCGAGATCCCGATCGGCTGCCCCGCCGGCGATCTCGCCATGACCGCCGCCGGCACACCTCCAGAACAGACTGGCCTCTTCTTCCTCTTAACTTGAGTCCACGAGTCCGGATGAATCAGATCGAAAAGAGTTAGATTTGGTAAACTAACCTTTGGAAGGGGGCCCTTCCATGGCCTGACTGCCGTCGCCGCCGTTCTCTGGTGCACCACGCGCCTGACCATCTCCTTCCTCTCGCCCGCATGAAGCCCAACCCTTGCCGGATCTTCCACTGGCAAAACCCGATCCACCGTCGAGGCCACCTCATCCTCATCATATCCCGCATGGAAGAACTCGCAGAAGAGATGAGAGGGAGTCGGCGTTGGTGGAGAAGCCTCCGGATCGTCGCTGTCTCCATCCGCCTCGTCCTCCTCGGATCCGGCCAGCGCCCAAAAACGGCCACCAACCCGAGGTCGAGCCACCGCCCCCGAGTGCACAGGCCCGGCGATCACCAGACGGGCACCCGCGTCGCCCCTCCTGTCGCCCCCCCCTGTCGCCTCCCCTAGTCATTCCCCCTAGTCAGCAACATAAATAACAGTACTCAAGAGTTCATTTCACTAGTTTCTTTAAGATAATAGATACGTAGTCACGTATGCATACACACATACACTCTATAGTCGATGGTAACAATGTCCTCCCATTGAACGAACATTGTCGGAAAGGCTGCAATAGTTTTCGACCCTTCGAGGATGTAACAATGCCCGTGTAGCAACCCGAAGAAGTGATTGCACTAGTTGTTCTGCTTGTTACCACGACGGCCATGAATGCTACACATGGGCATGCATATGTGACAAGTTGCCTCCTCATCTACTCACGGTGGTGTGACGGACCTTCAAGGAGGATTATTTGCGTCCTCTGATGCGCTCCTTCGAGCCAAGTTGCACATGTTGCTCTGTGTAATGGAGCCAAATGACGCGTTCCCTGCACCTCATTTGACTCAATTACACTGCAACAGGCGAGCTGGTGGTGTCCGAAAAGAGCTATGAGTGCTAGCTCTCTCTCCTAGCGATGTGGCCAGAAGGCAAAGGGATCCTCCTTCGCACCCATCTCGTTCGAGAACGGCGCCAAGTACGGATGCTTCTGGAGGCTAAGAACCACAATGACAGTGAGCTATTCAGATATGGCAATGGAGCGGGATGTCAAGCCTAAAAGAGGATGAGCTATTTGGTCATGAAGGTAGCCACCTATTCAACCATGGCAATGTGGACGTTGTCCGAATAGAGGATGAGCTCTTTAGTCATGGCGACGATTTTCTTATAGCCGTGGGCGGCGGACGGGAAAAACTGGCTGAATAGTTGGAGTGGACCCAGTGATTCTTCTTCTAACACCATGTTTAATTGTATCTTGGGGTATGTGCATTGGTTTGGGAAGATGGTGCCTTTACTAACATGCCATATCATGCATAGACAACATATAACTAAGGCTCAAGAAAGACAAATCGTGCTTGCATTTCATTGTTTGTCTCTTCTATGTCAAGTGTTGTCATTTCCCATCAAATTTCTTGGTAGACAAATCACAGAAATTCACCAACTCTAAAATTTACTATTATTAACTTTTGAAAATCACAACAATTTTTTCGATCACTCAAATCATTTGGGTGAGAAATAGTGCTAAATAAAATCAAAATGACATAATATCAAAAATTAATAGTCTACTCTTAAAAGCGATCAATTTTAAACTAAAGAGGAATAGATATATTTTCAACTTATCAAGTATCAAGCCTAAACATTTTTTCACTTCCAGATAAAAATGGCACGTTTCATGCACACATGTTATAAACACCAACATTATGTGGCCATGAACACAGCATGCATGTCCTCAAAGAACAAGAATGAATGAAAAAACTACTAAAGAACAAATAAACTAGCAATGACGCTAAGTGTGGCCGAGAATACAATTTGAAGGGAAGATGACCTATTGACACATTAGAAACTCTAGAATTTACTGTCAGTTATGGCTAAACAAGATAGTCATACTCCACAAATCTCTATGAAGATATTTGTTAGTACTATAAATGGTAAACCCTGCATCAAAATATTTAAGGGTACTAAAATAGAAACAAATATATAACACAATGTGGATGTAAGTGGCTTGTGTCTTACGTGGATGCGATATTTTTCATATTTTCATATGGTTCTGAATTTTAGATGCAACGATGTTTAGTTAAATGTCCTGAATAAAGATTTTAATAAATAATATTAGGCACAACAAAAAATATAGTGATGAATATTTTTATGGTAAGGCTGTATCGCGAATAGAAGACATACTTATAGCTAAATGAGCTAAAATAAATGTGTTTAGTATAAATTCCATGCATGTTAGCGGATCCTTTAAGCCCTGTTCGGGACGAAAGTAATTTTACAGGAATCTTACATGTTTCGTTTCTTGTGGATATTTTTTCTTTTGAGGTGTTCGGGACCAAGTAAAGAGGGCTACACTTTCCTTAGGGAAGGCAAACGTTCCAGCGATTTCACAGGAAACGAAACATCCACCCCGACCTAAGGGAAAGGCAAGGAAACAGAGTCGCCGCTCGTCTCTCTCTCTCTCGCACTCCCGCCTCCCATCTCCAGCCCTCCCGCCACTCCCCCAAATCCCCCATGGAGAAGAAGGAACCCTAGACTATTTTGGTGCAAAATCAGGATGGAGAACCAACGGAGCGCCGTCGGCTGGCGAATCCACCCTCCTCCGCCTCCCCATCTCCCCCCTCCAGCCCCTCCATCCACACAAGGGTTTGAAGACCAGAAATTTGGGGAAAGTCAAGAAATCTCCCAAGAAGGTAAGCTTCCAGACCTTGTTGATTTCTTCTCGTACTAGTCCTTGTTGATTTCTCCTCCTAGATTACTTCTACTTCAGATTTGTAGGAAATATAAAAAAATGAAAATAGGCCACACAGATTGAGAATGTTTAGATGCGCAAATAAACAATGATTAATTCTTTGCTGTTTAAGTTGTTACGCATAGAAAGAGCTAATTCTACTTCTTCATGTACGACATATGCTAGCAGGAAGTGATGCTAGACTGTTAGGTGAGTGCCTGGGTAGCTAAACAATGTATATGTACAAGGCTTGACTAAACATATACGATGGTTTTGCATTTGTTACTGCTACCTGCTATAAAAAATAGCCTGAACTTCCTGCTAACATGTACTACTACTACAGCATATCCATTTTTTGATCTTCTTTTTTGTATTTGTGTTCATAGTATCAATCCAAAGCGTTGCTAGTTGTGTACGTATACGTCCTGTGTATATGCTCAATCGGGGCCGGAAGGAATCGGACGTCGCTAGCTTGTACGAGCACACTGTCGGAAAGTACTTGACGGCTGCATTGTCAAGGTCGAGAAAAATATATTTAAGAACCTATCCTGTCAGTAGTTCTGTTGTGTTGATCTAAATAAATTAAAAACCTTGGTTATGTGCTTATAAGAGAGATGAAATGGAGTCAGGATATTTTTAGGATTGGGGAATAAACTTAATATATGACTTGCTCTTCAGTATCACAAATTGGATTCACTTGATCGTTATTATTTTCAGAGAAGTAACTATACTCAAGATATCTACTTTCTAGAGACCTTGCCTATATGCACAAGATTTAAAAGAGCAGACTTATAAAGGTGCACTTTTCATATTACTAGGTACCTCTAAGAATTGTGCTAGAGCCAGGTGGAATCATCAGATGAAGGCATATCTCATTGAACTCTTAAAAGATCATGATGTTCCCAAATATCGGATGCAAAATGCATGCAGTAAAGAGGCTTGGACAAACATTGTTGATAAATTCAATCAAAGATTTAATGTATCCTTCACAGTAGTTCAAGTGAAGCAAAAGGAGCAGGATCTAAAGAGAGATTTCAAAGTTGTAAAAGGCTTAGTATCTGAAAGTGGTTTTGGTTGGGATCGTGACCGAAAGATGGTGGTGGCTCCAGATAATGTTTGGGCTACACTAGAGGCACGTAAAAACAAGGACGCCCTCATATGGCGAGAAAAATCATTTCCATACTACGAAGATCTCTTCGCTCTATATGATGGTGAGCTTCAAATCATTAACTTAATTGGGCCCAAATGTTTTTTTGCTGATTCTTATAACTCTTTTTGATTTACATAATTGATGTAGGACGGTATGCTGAAGGAAGGAGTTGCCGTGGCATGGATTATTATGTGAGCAAAGCAACACAACTCTCACGGGTTCCAACATCACAGTCACCACAATTGCAAGGGCTGGAGATGCATTTACACGCACCTACACCAACCATACATGCTCCTGGTGATTCATCCATGCGGTTTGACATTGAAGAAGATATTGATAACACAGATTGGTTTTCCAGCAATAATACATTCAGTCAAGTCGAGGCAAACTCGGCTCAAGGAAATGACTCAGCATTACATGCTCCATCACAAGTTGAAACAATGTTAACTCCCTCAGTACATGTTGGACAGACCTTGCATGAATTTCCACAAGTTGTACATCGCAATCCTAGGCCATCTAGCTCTGCCCCTGAGGCTACTAGCACCAAGAGAGCAAAAAGGCAAAAGACCACAAGTATTGGTGATTTTCATGAGAGATACCTGCAACTCAAAAGAGAAGAAATAGATCGGTATACAACCATTCAGGAGAGGAAATTAAGGGACCCCTTCAGCATCAAGAAATGCATCAATGAACTTGAAAGGTTGGACGGTCTTCTGATGGCAGGTATGCTAAAAGCAGTTGACATCTTCACCAACAGCAAGGAAAACAAGGAAGTATTTCTGTCATTTTCAAGTAATGAATTGCGGTTGGGTTGGTTGACTAGAAAACTTCGGAATACCTAAATAATTGGAACTAGTATTTCGTACTAGGGGAGGACTAGCATGAACTGTGATATATTTTGTACATGTGCATTTATGGGCACATGGTTATGATCCTTGCTTAGGTAACTTGTAGTAGGGTGTGCTATATTTTGTACATGTGCATTTCTGGACACATGAGTATGCTCCTTCGCATAGTTTTAGTAGGCTGTGGTATATTTTGTGCATGTGCATTACTGGGCACATGAGTATGGAAGTGTGAAACTCGTTTGACTGGTAATGCAATGTTTAATGGCTCTTAAAGCACTGTCTTTCTGGAGTATTTGAATAAAATAATCATATTAAGTGGAGTACAGTACAAACAAATAATTAAGTAACATAAGAGTAAATTACACAATACATATGCTTATCTTCTAGCAATATAATCTGCCCACATTTGCATAGCCATGGCATCTCGCATCTCATTTCCGGCATGTCGCAAGTTGTTAAATACCATCACATCTCTATTGTATTTGGCATCGCCATCTTGTACATCCTTCATATTGCTTTCATTAATATCCATTGTAGCGCTCTCAGGCAATGTCATATCTCCGTTGTGTAGCCTTATGAAATTGTGCAATACACAACAAGCTACAACAGTATCAACTTTTGTGTCAATATCAAACATAGATGCTTTTAGTATGGGATACCTTGCTTTCCATATGCCAATAATTATTTCGACATGATTTCATAGCTGAGAATGTCGAAGGTTAAATAACTCCTTGTAGCATTGTGGCCTTTGTCTTCCTTGTTCATGTAAATGATATCTAGTTCCTCGGTATGGGGCAATGAATTGGGGTGTATTTGCATACCCCGCATCTACTAGATAGAACTTTCCAAGAGGTACATTGAATCCATGCTCAAGTGCATCTTGTAGAACCCTTGCATCTGATGTAGATCCCTCCCATCCAGCATGTACCTGCACAAACTTCATGTCAAAGTCACATGCAACCATTACATTTTATGAAAGACCATGCTTTCTATTTCTATATGGATCTTGTTGCCCAGGCGGAATAGTCATTGGAAAGTGAGTACCATCAATAGCTCCAATACAGTTCTGCAGATTTAATTCTACAGTTAGATATATATACATATAAGTTAGATTTACTCAATACCTATTCACCATGATAGGACTTGAAAACATACCTTAAAGTACAAAAACTTTGGGTTACTTAATATAAGATGCTGGTGTACAGAAGTTTGTATATAGATGCATGTGAGCTGCATAATCGCATTGAGCACGACATGGAAGTAAGTACTAATTGAATCTGCACCATGCTGGAATCTGTCTTGCAATGTTCTGCTGGTTGCATTCTTTGATACTGCATATAAAAATATGGCTACTTGCTCTTGCACAGAAATATACCTTGCATCCTTGAGAAGGTGATTTTCTCAGAGTTTTTGTACTACAGCTTGAAAGATATCTCTCTCCATATGAAAACGCCATTCACATAGAACTTCATGGCCGGTAAGCGCTTCATGCACATAAGTAGCTCCATTGAGGATGGATGTATGTATTGCTATCCTTTCAGATGACTGTGATGAGCTACCTTCTAGTGTAGGGAGTACAAAAAGTACAAATTCATCTTCGTTTCTTGACCGCCGGCTGTAGTTTGGGTCCATTGACTCTAGGAGTGAATGGATTGCTGCTACTAGAATGAAATGTATGTTCCTGAGTAGTGCTTGCAGGAGAGGAGAAGAGATGAGAAGCAAGTTGCTGGCAAGTGCATTGTATGTGCTTATCTAGCAATAGAAAGAAGCAACGGCTAGATACATCAACGGCAAGAATGCAATGCCTAGCCACATAACGGCTATTTTTGTTTCCTGGACAAGTGTGCAGGTTCAAACCTTTTCCTTTGTCCAGAACACCCCATAGATTCCCATTCCTTTGCTTTTGGAGCCTGTAGGTTTCACTTTGCACTCCACCCCATCCCTACGCATTTTTCTATTCCTTTGCTTTCTGAACCCACATTGCGAACAGGGCCTTATTTTTTATTCTTCAACTTTATGCCCTGAAATGTGTTACATCTCACCTTATCAATTTTATTTGGTGATAAAATAATACATATCTACCGGCTACAAGTAGGAGGGGATATTATGATATACATTCACTATAATGACAAATCGATGGTTGTAGTAACAAATGGTCCGACAAGATATTTGGATCTCCCAGAAGCAGGAAGATCTGATAAATTATACATGATGGAAAATACAAACTTCATCGATGGTATTGAGCTTGGGACTATTCATCTTGAAGAAGCTAGAGGATGGTCAGGCAGGACAATCCAAGCCCTCAAGTCAATTGAAGACATTACACAAGACAAATGGGCAGCAAAGAAAAAGGCAAAAGGAGAAAGGCCCGAAGAACTATACTGCTACAATGGAGTCCCATTCAAAGCAGAGTTAGAGAGTGATCTAGAACTTTTAGAAGATCTCATGCTCCTTCACAGATAAGATCCTAAGCGTAGAAGGTTTGAGCTAGTGGACCTGCCTGTGCGCCTGGGTCGAGAGGGTCCCTTGAGTGATGTTTTAGACACCGAGTTGACGGAGGATGAAGATAAACACAATGATTCACTGTTTTAGTCTAGCCTCTCTTGCGTTTCAATCGCAACAAAGGGCCAGCAACAAATGAGGCCAACAATAATCTGGAAAAGACAATGGATGGTGCAGATGGGAGTGATGAAAGGCACAAATCAAATGGAACTTCGGAGACGGAGCATCTTGGTCTAGGTGTATATGCACAAGCAAGAACCAACAGAATTGGAGTAACATGTCATTCGGGCATTAACTGATCGACTGAGTCACTAAAGATAACAGAGGATAAATGTGAAACAAGCAAAGGTTCAACTACTATTCACAACCTCGGCAATACATACTACGCAAGTTGCACATTGCAATATTCTCGAGCTATTCTAGAGCTTCAATTTCAGTTGAGAAGGTACTTCTAGTCCCTTAGTTCTCTATGGTTGTATCTCAAATGACATAAGCTAACCATTTTCTGCTTATTTGTTTTCTAGATACTTAAAAGGTTCAAGAAATCCAAATGTTTCTCATTCATTGCATGAACTAATAAATTCCCTCCATGACGCTATAACACGACTTGGAGAAGGTGATAAACCTTTTCGTCCCCAGAAATTTTCCCAGGTCAGCACATGCACGCCATCTCTTGTGTTATTCTGGTGTCAAATTGTTTTCATTTGGGCAGTACTAGTTTTATAAAAACAAAGTATTTGATGCATCAAGGCTAATAATAATGCATACTGATACGTCTCCAACGTATCTATAATTTTTGATTGTTCCATACTATTATATTACCCCTTTTGGATGTTTATGGGCTTTATTTTACACATTTATATCATTTTTGGGACTAACCTGCTAACTGGAGGCTCAGCCCGTATTGCTGCTTTTTTGCCTATTTCAGTATTTCGAAGAAAAGGAATATCAAACGGAGTCCAAACGGAATGAAACCTTCGGGAGCATGATTTTTGGAACGAACGTGGTCCAGAGGACTTGGAGTGCAAGTCAAGAAGCAGCCGAGGCGGCCA